TTGATAATTTAGGATTTTTTTTTGTTTTTCATCTTTCATAAAGAGTGAATGTTACCGTAATAGTTTTATAAAACAAAATTTGGGGGACAAAACATAAGAGACACTTAAATATAGAGAACAAACTGAGGGTTTCTGGATGGGTTCTGGGTGGGTAGATGGGCTAAATGGATAAGGGGCATTAAGGAAGACACTTGTTGGGATGAGCACTGGGTGTTATACATAGGGGATGAATCATTCCTGATTCCTGGAATCTACTCCTGAAATCATGATTGTATGCTAACTAACTTGGATGTAAATTTAAAAATAAAATAAAATAAAATAAGCAAAAAAAATTTTAAAAACCCACAAAATTTTGTAGATTCGTAAAAATTTTCACCTCCCTCAGTCATGAACAGTTTGATAACAAACTCAAAGAATAGGATATTACAGAAAATGGAAATTATTCTATTGTACACCTGACACTAATGTAACACTGTATGTTAACTGAAATTAAAATAAAAGCATAAATACGTACATAAAAACATTAATTCATTCATTACTTAATGAAAAGAAAATGGAGATACTGTTTTAGCCAAAGTTTTTAAGACCAGAATTTCAGATAAGAGGAATATCTTTCTTACAAGAAGTCGTGGGTCTCCTAAAACTCAGGGAAGTGAGGAGAGAGGGTACGGTCCATGCTCAGTTGGCTTTCTTCACTGAGAGTTTATGGAGAATAAAACTATTTCTTCTATGGTATATGCTACCTTCGATTCCAGTATGAGTTATCCACCTAGAGGTAATGTTTAATAGACATAGAATATTTCTATTGCTAACTCTTCTTGACTCTGCCTAAAAATTCTCATTCGTAAAATGTTACAATAATTTTTAAAGGTTTTTTTTAACTTTTTTTTTTTTTTTTGAGAGAATGAGACCACACAAGCGGGGAAAGGGCAGAGAGGGAGGGAGACACAGAATGTAAAGCAGGCTTCAGGCTCTGAGCTGTCAGCATGGAGCCGGATGCAGGGCTCAAACTTGTGAACCGCGAGATCATGACCTCAGCTGAAGCTGGATGCTTCGATGCTGATCCACAGTCCACCCAGGCGCCCCGATAATTTTTAAAGGTTTTAAAAGCTTTTTTGAGGTATAATTGACATACTATAACATTCTTGCATTTTAAGTATACAATTCAGTGAGTTTTAGTATATTTACAGGGTTTTGCAATCATCACTACTGTCCAATTTTAGAACACTTCTGTCACCCCCCCCCCCCCAAAAAAA